ATTGGAACCAGGTGTGGAAGCTGATTGGAGTCTCTGCCTGAAGGTAGAGCCCAGCGGAGTGGAAAAACCCCGTACTCACCCGGACCATGACAGAATCTCCTCCAAGCACGATATCCCAGTATACTTCAGACCCAGCAACACACTCAGACAAAAACTGGTTCACCCCAAAGGTAAATCTCCTAAACACAAACTTAACAAGGTAGTGTATGCTGTAGTGTAGCGAGAAATGCCCAGAAACCAAACAGCCACTTCATAAACGCATGGCACAACATAGAGGAGCAACCTCCAGGGACAAGACTCGGCTGTTCGTCTGCATCTAAAGGACAAAGGTCACTCTTCCAAGGATGCCAATGTTCACATTTTGGACAGAGAGGACAGATGGTTTGAAAGAGGAGTGAAAGAAGCCATTTACGTCCACTGTGAGCGACCATCTTTGAACAGAGGCGGTGGTTTACGATACCAACCCTCTGCCATCTATAATCCAGTTTTGAGATCCCTTCCCAGACGCCTTAACGCCCACTCACATCCTGGGCCATCTGACCTCAGGAAATTCCATGATAGGGTGGGGTTAGGTTTCACAATGAGCTCACCCAAAACCTTGGCTGATTGTGACCTACACCCATTTTCACGCCTTGGCTCATGTGATTAGGCAGAGGATCATTAGGGGGTCTATTGTCCCTCTTCGGGGGAAACTCCCACAGGGCTTAAATCTGGGACTCTCCACCATTTGACCCTAGAACTGAAGAAGCTTCTCAGACAAGAGGTGAAACATCTTCAAGCGATTTAAAGAAGTCCAGACGCTTTCCTATCCAAGCTCCTTAGACTACAATGACCTGGATGACTGAGAACTTTCACAGACATATGTACAGGATCTTTGGAAATAGAGAGAGGTCGAGTGGGAAGCACTTGGCTGAGTGGCTGAATTCTGTTTGACTGGTGTCTTACCTTTGTGCAGAGATGGAGTTGTTCAGCAAATGCAGTTTTATTGCACTGAAATAAACTTTTGGAACCAAGACAGGAAAAGTTAAAACAGAATTCATGCCACAAAATCTTTTTCTAGGGGGAGAACAGTGCTTGGTGTCAGTGGGTGGAGTCACAGATGATGGAAACGATGCTTTGCTGAGACGTCATTTGTGCACAACATCCTGGATAGATGGAGAAGTCCTGATGATGTTCACTGCAGTCCTTACCACTCTCTACAGTTGTTTTTTTTGTCTTAGACCGTGCAATTGCCATACCAGGTGGAGATACAGCTGGTCAACATACTCCATTGTGCCTCCGTAGCAGTCGTACATGGGAGCTCTAGAGATGATGTAGTTCTTAGCAGCCTCTCAAAAGCAATTCATCATTAGGGGAGCTAGTGCAACAGTCATTAAAACATGTGATGGTGGATTTTTGGGCACTGTAATGATAGGATGGCAGACTTGAAACATGATGAAACTACAGTCTGCTTCAGAAAGGTGGTAAAGTTGTCCATCAGGACATGTGCCAGCTGGTCAGCAAACTCCCTGAGTATGTGTCCTGGACTTTTCTGGGCTTGCTGCCTTGTGTACGTTCACTTTCTTCAGCCTGGCACTGTTGCTGCTGCTGTGACCTCAGAGGAGGGTTCCAGCATGGCTGGATGCACCACTGAGAGAGAGGCAGAAACTGAATGGGCTGCACTGACAAACACTGGGCCTCCACCTGTCACTCAAATTAATAGCAACATGAACAAGGTGTCTGTGCTTCCCAAACTATGTATGCTGTGATGCTCATCTCATCCTCAGTCCCCTGCTGACCCCAATTGGGGGGTCTTCTTCACACAGGTTAAATGGAGACAGACAGTGACAGGATCTGTGTGCAAATATGTTAACTGTGAACAAAGCAAACCTTTAAAGGACAAAGCGTCAGGATTTGCAAATGAGCTTAGGCTACAAATGCTTGGGTGTGGGAAATTATTTACACCTTTGGATTCACTCCTCTGGTTGCCAACCCACAACTTTCCACTATCTCTTTTCACTGAATGATGACTTTGCAAATACGAAGCACGTTGGCTCCATCTTGTGAGCAAACAAAATCAAAGACCTTATAATGACCTTAGAGCAGGGGTGGGCAACTTCAGGCCTCAAAGGCCAGTTTCTTGCAGGTTTTAGATATCACCCTGTGTCAACACACATGAATCAAATGATTAGTTCATGACCAGGCTGCCTGCCTCCCTGCCAAAAAGCTTCTTCATTTTCTCAGCTGAAGTTAGATACGTTTTCAGACCTTTTACTACAATTTAATATTTTATTATTGATGTGGCTGCTTAAGTTATATCACTTAAAAATTGTCTTTCTACATCACTAACCTGCACAGAGTGAAGCAACAGTTGGTATTTGTAACTAACTGTTTTTTCTTTTTATTAATCTCTGGCTCTCTTCCACATCATGTCTTTTGTCCTGTCTTCCTCCCCTCACTCCAACCGGTTGCTGCACATAGTCGCCCCTTCCTGAGCCTGCTGGAGGTTTCTTCCTATTTAAAGGGAGATTTTCCTTCCCATTGTTGCCAAAGCGCTTGCTCAAAGGAGGTCATACAAGTTGTTTTTTTCTCTTTATGTGTTATTGTAGGATCTACCTTACAATATAAAGTGCCTTCAGGCAACAGTTGTTTTGATTTGGCGCTGTATAAATAAAACTGAGTTAACCAATCACCTTTTAAATTGAACCACAAAAGCCCTAACAAAACACCTGTATCTTCAAACCAACACTCAGTAAAACATGTTTTCACAAAATCCAAAAAAACTCAAACGTTATTTATTAAAAGCAAAATCCTGTTTTATTTTCCAGTTCCATAGTGTGAAAAATGCATTACTCTTAGAAATAAGAAAAAATCCAACTTTGTTGCGATTTCTCTTGAAATTTAGGGAGCTAAATAATGTCAAAGATATATAAAAAAAAAAGAATGAATGAAAATGAAATAAATATCACAAAATATCTTCCTTTATGTCATGGTGGTCATAAGAGGTGTGGACCCAGGCGCAGACAAAGATGCAGGACAGAGTGTTTCAAACTGAGCCTTTGTTGCAGCTGTAAGAATTACCACAAAACCACCAACAAAAACCTAAACTGGGGACAGCTAAACATGAAGCTATAAAACTAAACAACCTGAAACATGGAAACATAGCTGGAGAGACACTGGGGAAGATGAGCAGGATGACCAACATGCATGATACGCAGACGCTCCAATGAAGAACAGAGGTAACCACACACTAAATATACACACAAGGGCTGTGTCTCAATTCAGGGGCTGGACCCTTCCGAGGCCGCATTTGAAGGCCGACTACGTCACAGTGACGCGACGAGGGCTGTCCCAATTCGAAGGCTGCTCCAAATGCATCCTTCATTCCCCCGAATTTGAAGGATGGGTCAGGTGTATCCTTCGTGGCCCAACCTATCCCAGGATTCATAACACAGCCCAGCCAATTCCAGTTTCCAACAATAGTGGCAGCTGCTTAGTTTTAATATTAATCTTATTACTCTTTCTGGGTCACAAAGAAAACTTTTAGCATATTTTCAGGCAAGAATGTAGCTGTGTCAACTTCAAATATCTGCTCACATATTTGCAAAAGTGCTCCAATGTTTTTGGAGACTCAATAGCTGAAAGGGTGGTAAGGACTCACTAAAGCTGACGAGAACACCAGACTCCCTGCACATTGTTTTCAGACCCCGTGCGGTCTTTTGCCACTCAGGTAACTTAACAATGTTATTGTTTGGCTTTTTTCTGTGTTTTATTTGTTCCTGAGAAAATCGGTTTGGCTGAGATTAAAGTTATAGTTTTTACACAGCTGAATAAACAAATAGAAAACTGATTAAACAGAAGTGTGAGATGGTAGAGAATTTACTCCAATGTCCTGTTATATTTAAGACAGCAAGGAGTTTATTAGACACAGCTGGTGACGCAAATCTGAAGGCTAGACCGTCCTATTTCACAGCCTCGCACTTCCAGCCTTCTCAACCTGGCCTGAGTAGACTGCGAAGGTCGGGTCTCTGAAGGATGCCGCCCTTGAATTGAGACCCAGCAAAGGTAACAAGGAAATGGCACACAGGAGGGAGACACAGCTGAGCCTAATTAGACAAGACAATGGGGAAGCAAAACAGAATACATGACCTGAGACACAGACCTTCAAAGTAAAACAGGAAATACAACCGTCTTAAGGGCACAAACTTGAAACTACACAGGGGACACAGAGTACAAGGACCAAAACCTCTGAACAAGAAATACAAAACAGAAACCATCACACTAGCAGTCAAACCCCAGATAAAAACAAAGGTCTATAATAATATGAAAACCAACCCAGGACCGTGACACCTTATGTCTATCTATCTGGTTCACTTGAGCTCTGTTTTGCTACACTGTTTACTACACAGTGGCTGTGGGGCAAAACAAGCCCCAGGTGTTGTGAAAAGTTCAACTGGTAATTCATCTTATTTCATCTTTCAAAAGTATGTGCTTTCAAAATTTATGTTGCAACATAACAACGGACTAGTGAAAAGTTATATATATTGTTTACATCAGTGGCTACAAAATTTACTTATGCTCTGTGGATGGATTTTTCAAATGTTTGCGACTACAGGTCCTGAAGAAAAATGCTACAATGAGCTTAAATGACAACAGAGGAGGTAATTTTCAGCAAACTATAGCTTGTAGCATGACTTTGATTTCAGAAATGCTCTCCTGCTTATGTCGGGTTTAATGAATGGTTATTTGACTTACCTTTGACACACTTTTAACAAGTTACTTTACTGTGTCTTTAAAAAGTAATTGTATTCAAAAACATTATTTTTAATGGTATTAACAGTTGCTTCTTGGTATCTCTACATGTCCACCTTTATTATTATTATTATTATTATTATTATTATTATTATTATTATTATTATTATTGATGTATAGAATAAAATATTTCAAAATTCACTTTTCAAATACAAAAAAAATTGCGAATATTATTTGCAAATTTGGCTCTTTGCTCTCACGTCCACTAGGGGGCGGTAATGCACATTTAAGCTGATTTATATGCGCAAATGAATCCGTCGAGGAAGAAACCGAACAACAAGGCCTGGGACTAGATAGCTGTTGCTAACGGTGCTAACACGAGAAAGCACACAGTAAGTAAAGGAAAGAGCATTTGTGCATTTTCGATTCGATTGTTTCACTATGCTTTCTGGTCGTTTTGTGCGGTTATGTTGTGTCTAAATTAAACGGGATTGTAAACCAAGTGTCTGACTGTTAATGAAGTTCAGGTGATCATAAACTGGCCAATTTTACTTTTCTGGTAAATTTGCCTAATGTAGGTCAGCGTACATGAAACTTTTAGCTCACTGTAACATCTGCTCTGGATGAAACGATGATATAAATCGGGTTTTTTTTTTCGTGTTTATTAATAACTTAAATTTGAAGTGCATTTTTACAATGAAAAGTTCCGAATGTATTTAAGAAAGAAAGAAAGAAAGAGGGGGGCGGGAGAGAAAACGATAAAAAAAAAAACTTAATGAAAATGTGGATAACTTGTTATCAAAACCCTGAATGGCGCATCGAATACTAGCTTTAATCTTATAAAGGCACGCACAAAAGGAAAAACACAAAATCAAAATATACTTTGCAGTGATATGCAGCTGAGAATGGGATCAAATCATTTGTTAATCAGCAACTCTTAGCGAGCTATGAAAGGTTTGTTGATTTCAGTAAAGCTAAGAATGCACGACACTAAGGCGAGTGTTGTTGTTGGGTTTTTTGTTTGTTTGTTTTTTGCTTGTTTTTCTTATGTCTCCGTTATATCTCTCTTATCCGTGACATGCTGCTTTTAATTCTGCCCATGTCAAACATCTTTGACTGAAGACCAGTTCTCAAAAAACTGAACACGGATATGCGTAATTGACAGGATAAAGAGGGAAAAAAAGAATAACCACTTATACTTAGAATTGTTAAGATGTCATTTTGATCCCATAGAAATGAACTTAAAACAAACATATGGTTTATATACATTTTGTAGCAGGATCTGTAACTATAGCGCTATAATTACATAACTGCTTTTATACCTGTTACTTAATGTAACTAATAAATAAATAAATAACTTTTCCATGATGATCCCCCTCACTTCATCTTAAATACTTAGTTTGCTGAGTCTTACATATAATAAGAAAAGTTAACTGACAATTTACAAGTGACAGTGAATGACTTTTTCATAATATTGTAGCTAATCTTGAACTGCAAGTAGATCTGTTTATTTTTAGTTTGCAGTTTAATCTTTTTTTGTGTGGTTGTGCTTGGAAAAGTTTTTCTTGAGCACATTTATTTTCCTGCTCCTGACTTTTATTTTCCTTTTGCAGGCTTTGGCAGAAGCAGTCAGCATGGCGACTCCAGTGCCCGTACTCCGCCTGCCCAAAGGACCTGACCCCAACAGCCGTGGATTTGACCCCAACTCGCCCCGCTTCATCGCTCTCTGCCGAACCTCCATTTCCTCCTCAGCAGCTTCAGATACCGACAGCGAGCAGCTGCAGAAAGAGCAGGATGCTCGATCTGTGCTGAGAGAGGGCTTCCTCCGGTGCTTGCTCTCCATGACCAACAAGAAGGTTCAGTTCCAGATGTATGAGAATGTGAAGGTGGAGGCCACATTTGGGGCATCAGATATTGACGTGCTGAACTTTCAGGTGTCTGACCTGCACACTCCCATTGGTGTGCAGAAAGAGGCTCTAATCAGATGTCAGGATGTGATATCATTCACCTTTGATGTATAAACATGTTGCTTTTGTGTGTGCGGTGGACTGGATTATATGCTAGTGATTTGACTGCATTCAACAAGCAGTCCCACTGTTTCAACACAAGAGGGAGTCGCGTGCCTTTGTGTCAAGAGGTAGCCATCCCAACCTGATGGCAGAGTTTAGTGGTTGCTCCAGAGCTCAATGATACTCTCAAATATCAGAAGTGCCACTAGTGGTTTCATAATAAGTCTCAACAAATGCTTGAGGTAGAGGCTGTAACAGTCTGCAAAGTTAAAGAAGTGCAAAACTTCAAAGATAATGCAGCTTTTTGAGGTCAGTGAATCCTGCCAGATGTCACCTGACATTTAGCCTCAGTATCATGTTTATGAACAGGTTTCCTGTCTCAGTTAAACATCAGAGTTGGATATGTACAAACATGTTACTGCTGTACTGGTGCTGGAGTTGTGAAATTGCCTCATTCAATTTAACTGAATGTGGTATATAAATTATTGCACTTAAAAGAAACACTTTTGTATTCTCTGTGAAAGTGATCAGGACTGTGTGGCAAAATGTTATTTTTTTGCAAAATAAAATGTTTAAAGAAATAACTGGTAAATATTCATGTTTAATGAAAAGCTCAATTTCAAAAGCCACTCTTGAATCGAGCTCTTTTCCTAAAGTGGGCTCATTAAACTCTTCCTTTTGGCATTGTGCAAAGGTCTTGAGGTACCTCCATTTCTTTATTATTTTTCTACAGAAATGGGAAGTATGTGTGATTTATTGAAACGTGTAAAAACATGCAGTTTAAATAAAGCAAACTTTTTGTACATTTACAGTACAAGCTTCAAGGTCAATATTTTGTAAGACAATCTATATTCTTCAGCACATCCTGAGCTCTTAGACAGCTTTTTTGTAATTTCTTGAAGTAGTCTTCAGGAATAATTCTCTGGGCTTCTTGAAGGACATTCAAGAAGCTTTGGATGTTGGCTTCCTTGTGTTTCGTTCTCTTTTAAGATAATGCACTGCTTCAGTAATGTTGGAGGATAATCTATGATGTCTTTCATTGTCTTTTTCTATCCAGCTATGCCTCTACTGCATTGGCAGCATGTTTGGGATGCTAAAAAGTAAAGCATTTTCCAATCAGAACCGTGGAATCTTGGTGGTATTCCACGGTTCTGATAGTACCTTTCAGTGTTCATTATTCCACCAATTTTGAAAAGCTTTTTAACACTGCTCCAAACCACACTAGACCCTCCACTGTGTTTTACAGATGGCTGGAAACCTCTTCCCTGACCTCGTCTAACTAAAAAAAAAAAATCAAATGTGGATCACTCCATAGGACCTGTTGCCACTGTTTTTCAGTCCAGTCCTTGTCTATTTTGGCATTGCTCAGCCTGTTTCCCTTAAGAATGGCTTTTTGATGGCCACTCTCCCACTGAGACCATTTCTAATGAGACTTCAGTGAACAGGTTTTTTGTTTGTTTGTTTGTTTGTTTTCCCCCTTATTCTTAAGGACACAACTTGCGGATGTTATGTCCTTGGCTGTGTTGACTGTAGTTTGTAATTTAGGTCTGACACTTGTCCTCCACTTGGTCAGTTTCCTCAATTTTTTTTAAGATTGCACTGCACAGCGTGTCAAGATATGCCAGGTTCAGCTGATACCTCTTGTGGTGGAATTACATTGCTCGTGCAAAAATTCTCTTTTATGCCTGTCAGATTTTATTATCTTTGGTATTTAGCTTAATAATATAATAATGATAATGGTAATAATAATAACAGATTACTAGTAATTAATAATTCTTTAGATTAATCTAAAGAAAAGGAGCAAATTGTGGGGGATATTTTTAGGGACGGGTTTTTGTTTTTTTGTTTTGTTTTTTCAACAACAGGCTGCTATTAACTGTCTGAACTGTTCAATTTAAAATGGATTCTTTGCCAAGTTGTCATTATCTGTAGACACAACACTGGTGCATTACTTGAGTTAGGTGCTTTTTATGTTTGGGTGATTCATAGGTCAGTGTTAAGTGACTTAAACATTCTTCTCAAAACAATAACAAAGCATTCCTCTGAAATGGTCGGCTATCTGGAAGCTATA